GTTACTAGTAGGATTTGGTAAATTTTTGTTTAATATATAATGAAACTATTTCCCCAACTTTGAGCCAAAATGATACAAGGTTTAAGCGCATACCAATAAACCGGTCAGCAATGGGAAATTTTCAGTAAACAGAAATGCACAAAGCGATACAACAAATATATCAATAGTTTTACATGGCACATGCATCTTTTTTTATGTATACCGGGGTAACCTACATTTTGTTACAAAACAACACCACCCTGTTTGTTTACTGTGTACAAATTCTGAAAGTAGTTTGTGAAGTTTTTTGAGCTGTCAGCATCTTAGACGTCACTAAATTGCATGTGATGATTTGAAGGTGACAATATCACAATTTATTCTGAAGCATTTCCTGTTCAGATTTGTCCACAATTGCAGACTAGACTCTTGATTCCATCATATTTCCACAGCGTTCAATTGAACTTCAAACACTACATTCATCATCAGTGTTTAGGGTGCAATTGAAAGATAATTCGAAACGGCAAGGCACAACGATGATAGGATGTCAGAATTAAAGAAAACAAGCCATGCATGGCACAGTCCTCATTAGTTATCAAATTTAAGATATATAGTTTTGTTTATAGTAATATAGCTGGAATATAACCATGTCAGGAATATGATTATGATGATTGTTTAGCATTAAAATGATTGACATTTGTATCTGATCGTCAAACAAGTAATTGTTCACATTGAGAGATATTGCTCTGGAACAGCCTTAATTAAAACAAAATCAGCCATTTTAAATACATGTATATATCTATAACATGATGTATAATGAATATATAAAATATATAAAAACATAATCAGTCAAGCATGTCAGAGATATGGCTCCAGAAGCCCATTCATTAAAAAAAAATGGCCACCAGCCAGCCATTTTGAATCTGATCTGAAAAATAAAACGACGTGCATCAGGAACTCGTAATGTCTAATGTATGTTATAAGTTTGAACGAAATCCATCCATAAATGCCAGAAATGCTTGATATTTGATGTTTTTTTAGCACAAAAATGGCCACCATTTGTCCATTTTTAATTTTTTAATCTGAGATACATAATTAGCAATCAGATTCTGTAGTGCAAAGTGGAACCACTACTTACGATCGATTGGTCTCTGCACAATCTGATGTGTAGCTATCTGGTTCTATACCAGTTAGATCAATCGAAGCATGTATTTTCTTAGCAGTGTCATTTATCTTGAACACCATACTGGCGGCGTAGAAATAGACACAGGTAGTGTTGATGAACGTGAAATTATGCTTCTCTGCTCCTACTTCACGACGAAGACGATGAGCCAGATTTAGATTCTCTGCAGCAATCATCTGTTAACAAGAAATGGACAATATTAGTGATGCACTGAACAAGGAACATGATAGCATAAATCATGTACATTTCATTTGTAATTATCATGGTTCTCGATGTATGATCTGTTTGTTTCAATCTATCGCTTTGTTGTCAGTTTGGTCTGAAATCGATATAAGAAGCAAAATGTAAATAAAATTCGGCAAGCAGACAATCTCACAATGAGAAGGGCACTGTGCGGGTTACTTCTAGTTCACAGTTCTTTTTGACACCCCAAACAGGTACATTAAATGGAAGATGACCTCAGCTTGTTAGCATTTCCTCTATATTTCATTTGTGACTTCGCTGAGTTATGCAGTGACCTCACAACGGTGTGCAGCGACCCCACAAACGTGTGCAGCGACCCCACAAACGTGTGCAGCGACCCCACAAACGTGTGCAGCGACCCCACAAACGTGTGCAGCGACCCCACAAACGTGTGCAGCGACCCCACAAACGTGTGCAGTGACCTCACCAATTAGCAGAGACCACACCAAATTTTGCAGTGACCTCACCAAATTATGCAGTGACCTCACACAGTTGTGCAGTAACCTCACCAAATTATGCAGTGACCTCGCTAATTAGCAGTGACCTCACCAAATTATGCAGTGACCTCACCAAATTATGCAGTGACCTCACCAAATTATGCAGTGACCTCACCAAATTATGCAGTGACCTCACATAGTTGTGCAGTGACCTCACCAAATTATGCAGTGACCTCGCCAATTATGCAGTGACCTCACCAAATTATGCAGTGACCTCACCAAATTATGCAGTGACCTCACCAAATTATGCAGTGACCTCACCAAATTATGCAGTGACCTCACATAGTTGTGCAGTAACCTCACCGAGTTATGCAGTGACCTCACCGAGTTATGCAGTGACCTCACCGAGTTATGCAGTGACCTCACCGAGTTATGCAGTGACCTCACCGAGTTATGCAGTGACCTCACCGAGTTATGCAGTGACCTCACCGAGTTATGCAGTGACCTCACCGAGTTATGCAGTGACCTCACCGAGTTATGCAGTGACCTCACCGAGTTATGCAGTGACCTCA